GATATGAGCCGATTAAGAAAGCTAGAGAAAATAAAAATGATCTTTAATTCTCCATCCTTAGATCTGGATTTTCTAAATGAAGAGTTCAGATTTGGTTATTGATGGATGCATAACCCATGGTTATGCACCCTATCTTGAGCCGGATGACATAGCATGCCTATCTCTAAAAGGGTTGGCAAAATGATACCCCTATTAATTATAGGTTTTAAGGTAATTAATTTGTGTTGCATTTAATAATCTGTATGAATTAAATACACATATTAATTACTTTCCTTTTTTCTGTGCACTAGTAGTTGTATAAGTGCAATGGTAGATGTATCATTGCAATGGTAGTTCCAAAAAAGGAACGTAATTAATATGAGTTCAGTATACAGGTGCAATGGTAGTTAAGAAAAAGGAATGTAATTAAGATGAGTTTTTAATTTCCAAAAATTATTAAATGCAACACGAATTTAATACAAAAAATAACTATAATTAATAAGGGTGTCATTTTTTCAACCCCTTAGAAGGGTTAGCATGCTAACAGATCCCTTGGTAGTCCATAAGTGTGTAACTATGAATTATCATTCTCCCATTTAAAATGTAATTAAGTGTTTGTAAAACTGCACCATACCAACACTCTAATCGGAAAAATCTCTTATTGAAACCAAAACTCCGAGGAGGTTTTAGCGGTATGTAATAATGAACTCTGATTAAAACACGGTTTCAGTACAAAATATCTTACCACTTAATTCTTTTCCGATACAACCTCTTGTATGGTTTCACAATTCTCAATATATATTATTTGAATATATAAAGCAAAGTAAATTTAAGGGGTTCAGTGGCAACGACGGATCTAGGACATGATAGAGCACTGAGCCGCATTTGAATAGAAAATTAGATATCGTGAACAAAAATATATGATATTATTGTTTTCATTACAATGTCAATTGTACATAATAGTCTTTTAATTTAGCAAATTTATTAATAATGGAGTCTTCATCCATACCAATAAAATACTCTGTCTAAGAAAATAGTTACCGCTACTCCTATGGAGATTCATGTGGAGAGCTCCGCGACTACACTATAGCTACGACTATGGAGATCCTTCATGGAAGAAGAGCTCCGCGAAGGAGTTATAGAGAAAAAGGTAAGTTTGACAGATGTGTTTTTGTGTTGATTTGGTTGTCCCCTCTCTCTCTCCTTGCTCCGGTGATTTTATCTGAAATCACTTGCGTAGTCTTCACGCCCCGTGGAACTGCTTCCTCAACCGCTCCGTTGTGAACTCCCACGTGTCTTCACTCTTCTCCACACTGTCGTAGTCTTCAACCGCTTTGATCTTCTCTTCACTCCCGAATCTCACGTGCAAGAAAATAAGTCCATTATTTTCATTAGCCCGGGACGTCGTTTACACCTCCACCAACAAAGTTTCCATAACGACGTCATTGAACCCATTCACGGCATTGCTCAGCTTGCAACACCGTCAAGCTCACTACGTCGTTGAGCTCCACGATGTTGTTTTGGCAATGTGGCATCGTTGAATTTCTCGGCGTTGTCGTACTCGTAACGTCGCTGAATTTGCGACCGCAACGTCGATTCCGCTGCGTTGTTGTTTAACTAGCGGTATTTTTAGCCATGCGACACCGCATTAATTTAATATTTCACGTACCGCAGCATTGTCGGGTTACTTGCGGTGTGGTTTTCTTCCCCAAACAACTCTGTTTGCTTTTTCACTCCACGACATTGTTTTATATTAAACACTGTCGTTTTCTAATCCGCAGTCTTGTTTTCTCTCGCGACGTCGTTTTTAGCCAAACAACACCATCTAAAATAATTATTAAACATGTTAATTAAACCGGCTCATTATTGTCACGTGGTCAAATTCTCATCCATCGGTGCTGTTTAATATTTCTGCGACATCGCTTTTCACTAATCGATGCCGACCTTGAACTGCTCCGTCCCGGTCCCATCGAACAATGTCGTTTTTCATTCCGCGACATTGTTTTCTACCAAACGATACCATTTTTCTCGTCTTGCGGTGCCGTTGGGCTTGCTGGGCCGCCCTCTCCAAACTCCAACCCGTTGTGGTATAGTTTTTACCTAAACGACATCGCTTACCAAGACCTTTTGCGGTATCGTTTTCTAATCCGCGGTGTCATTGGGTTTACTCGCGGTGCCGTTTTTAGCCAAACGACACCGTTTCCTAGTCTCGCGATGCCGTTGAGCTTTGAGGTTCGCGGCACCATTTTATCCCTCATCCGACAAGGAAAAAATAAAAAAAAACATTTTTTTTTCCAATAACAACACCAACAGGCCGAGTGAATCCGACATTGTTTTCACTAAACAATGTCGTTTTAAGCACCTCAGTATTGTTGAGCTTCCTCGCGGTGTCGTTTTAACACTCCGCGATGCCGCTTAACACCACACGACACCGTTTTTTTGTAATGCGGCATCGAATTAAATACCGAGACTAATTAATGCGGCATTTAATTTAGGCCAAAATTATTATAGGTGTAAATAGAAACTTGGTTGGTAAATGGTAATGAGTAGGTGTATAACTATGGATTATCATTCTCCCATTTAAAATGTAATGAAGTGTTTGTGAAACCGTACTGTACCATCAACTCGACCGGAATTTTGGTACCCGGCATCCTATTCAAATTTAAGTGATAGACCTCCCCCAATTCTCATACTTTAGTGGTACCCGAGGTATTTTACCCTTCTACCGTTACTTGGTAACCTGGACCAGTGCAATTGGATCTTTCCAATTATTTAGTGCCATCCATTCGTCAAGAATACCCATATTGACTTGTAGTTGTCCAATCATTTTATTCACCATGAGGCACTATTGAAACCTCCAAATTTATTCAATGAAAAAAAAAACCCACCAATTTTTTTTTCATGCAATACACAAACAATATGGTGAAACTAGGCAACCCTCCAAAACCACTAGCTTTTGTTGCGGGAAATAGGGCCAAAAGTGACCGGACGCTAAATTAACCCAAATTTATCCGATTTTAAATTGACCCAGCATGTAGACCAACTCGACCCTCGAAATTGGGCTGGACCAGTGAGTATCTAGTGACCAGGACCAGGCTTACATCCCTAAACGTGCATCCAAACAGAGCCAGCAGAAGAAGTTGGCGCAACAACAATCGGACTCCTCACAGTATGCTTCCCACTTTCTTCAACCCAAACAATCGAACCATGAGAAACCATCCCTTCACCATCACTCCCATACGTTATCTCCACGAAGTAATCTCTCTGCTCGTTCTTCTTCCCGAAAACCAACCTCTGAGGCCACACCGCAACTTTCACTCCCACCGGTGGAGCCACCTTCACTTCGTACGAAGCCGTCGCGGCTCCCACATTGGTCACGACCCTTCGAAACTTGTGCGTCAACATCGCTCCGGTAGTCACATTCTTATCGTAGAACGCAACGAACGACGGGTAGTTCAGATCGAGCGACGAGGAGTTTGCACAGTCGTACTCGTTCGATCTGGTGATGGTCATGATCTGATTCCTGGTAAAATTCATCGAACATAGCAGAGACACGTATTCCTGTGGAGTCGCATCGTAGACCAGACCAGGGTCCATGGCCTTATTCGGCATCATATGGCCCGCTCCCATAGCCAGAGGAGATGCGGCAGTGTAATTTAGGCCAAAGTCTTTGATAGGCATCATGGAACTGTCCAGCTGAGCAGCAGTCGTCATCATGGCCGATCTGATAGCTGCATGGCTCCATTCCGGATGCACACCTCTCAGCATCGCCGCCACGCCAGAAGCGTGAGGGCAAGCCATCGACGTGCCTGAGATGAGATTGAACCCTTCACTGGTCAACAACATATTTTTTCCTACTAAGGCTGTGGAGCCATTTGGGATCCAGGAAGCCAGCACGAGGCTTCCTGGAGCCATAACGTCCGGCTTTAGAATCGCAGGGCAGTTCGGAGAAGGACCTCGAGATGTGTAGCCAGCTACTGAGGGAGCGACATCTTTCCCCGTCACAGTTTGGCGGAATTTGATTGCACCAATAGGGTTATCGCTACTCTTGATGTAGTCGATGACTGTAGCCAACTCCATCGTGGAAATCAACACGCCTGGACAACTCATTGACTCTAAGTCCACACGAGAAGGATCTTTAGAGACGAAGATCGCACCAGCGAGGTTTGTCACCCCAGAGATTGCCCGCATTTGGTCGTTTAAAAACCCTGTGTCATCGCAGACAATAATAGCACGTGGAGCTTGCGAGAGCAACTCGAGAGAGTCACATTTGGAGAGTGTCTTGTTGTAGATAAGGGTTTCATTCTTAACCCATGCATTGAGCGGGAATATGCTCCTCCCGACTATGATGTGTTGTTCTTTCTCCTTGTCATTCCCCACGGTCAAGCTCGCGACGTAAGTGCGGTCAAAGTTTCCCGCTGCCACGGTCATCACCCAGGGGATTCCATTATGCAATGGAATCCCTCTGGGCCCATTATTGCCCGCGGAGGAGGAGACCAGAATCTCCTTCTCCATTGCACCAAACGAGGCGATCGCGACGGGATCCTCGTACAACGGGACACCATCGAACCCCATGGAGATGGAGATGATGTCGACTCCATCCGCCACGGCCTGGTCCATTCCAGCCAGCACGTCCGAGGCGCAACGTCCCTCGTCCCATATCACCTTGTACATGGCCACCCTGGCTCGAGGCGCCATGCCTCGAGCCACGCCATCAGCGTAGCCGAAGAAGGATGCACCTTCCACGTAGTTCCCGGCCGCGGTGGAGGAGGTGTGGGTCCCGTGTCCTATGGTGTCTCGAGCCGAGTTCATCGTGAGGGTGACATTCGGGTTGGCGGCTCTGACCCCTTTGTTGAAGTATCTAACTCCAATGAGCTTGGAGTTGCATAGGGAAGAGTTGAAGTCCTATCCCTCTTGACATATTCCTTTCCATTTGGATGGGAGCTTGGAGGGGTAAGTCATACCGTGGTCGCTGAAGCTTGGACTTTCGGGCCAGATTCCGGTGTCGATTACACCGATGATCACGTCCTCGCCAAAGTTCGAGGCAGGCCAGAGGCCGGTTGATGGTTGAGAGACATGAACTGGGAAGTATATGTGGTGTCCATCGTGACGAGTTTGTCTTTGTAGGATGAAAGAAACCCCGGGTGGTTTTGAACGGTTTGGAGTTCTTGTTGGGATAGAACAGCGCTGAATCCATGGAGGGCGTTTTGGTAGGAGTACAAGAAGGAGTTTTCGAGGGATGAGAAGTGATGGTGGTTGTCGGAAGTTGTACTGGTCGAGGATTTGACGGCGGAGACGATTGAGGAGTGCCATTGTTGATTGGTGGTGAAGTGTTTTGGACGGGAGGATGGGTCTAGGTGGACGATGTACGTGGAGAAGTCATCGGTGGACGTGGCATGGAAACTGAACTCGAGAAGAAGAAGAAGAAGAAGGGAGCAAAGTTGAAACATTGTTGTTTCCTCTTTGGTGGAAATGCTTGGTGAAGGGATTGGTGCTTACATGAGTATCCACTTCGTCATATATATACTGGTTTCGTTCGGCTGGTTGTGACGTCTTACTAACAACACTTTTACTTTGTACAGTTTTTGTTTCTCTTTGTGAATAATATTCGCCATTAGAAAACAAAAACAACACACAATTGTACTTGGGGTTTTATACGGCAGAATAAAATGTCTCTGTCTCTGTCTCGGCTTGATGGGCGACCAGCCGTCTTCGTTAACCATATATACGACTGTCGAGTTTATGCCTTTGGTTTAAGTGTGTTGTAACGATTGACAATGCAAGTTTGTTCCGATTAATCAAAATCTGGTATGGTTTCTCTCACTAGGTTTACCGTACTACATAGGAAACTCAAATATTTCTGCAAATCCTAAGTTTATAAGTAACAACATTGTTGTTGTCACTCATTCATAGGAGTACTAGACTTGGTTGGTAATCCATAGGTGTGTAACTATGAATTATCATTCTTATAAAATATCTTATCAATGATTTTTCCGATACCACCTGTGGTATGGCTTAGCAATTTTCAATATATTTTTTTATTATTAAAAGTACAAACACTTTTCACTATTCATTAAGAAAAAATAGGCTATTTTTTCTCCACGGATACCATTCACAAAGTGGTTTTATCCCATATACCCAATTTACACAATTCCTATTTTTTCTCCTTTTTCAGCATATACTATTCATATGAGTTTAATCCCCTACAACCAAGACTAAAACTCATGGAATTCTACTATAAGTCTTTTTTCTCTACGTCCAACTTAACATTATACAAAAAATTTACATATCGGTTATTTTTTTCTCCATGGGTGTTGTTCACAATGAGGTTTTATCCTATATATTCTATTTTAACATAATCCTCTTTTTTCGCCTTTTGAGCAATATAATTCATATGTGATTTATCCCCTACAACCAATTATTCGATAAGTCTATAACTCATATGAAATTCTCGAATGTCTTTTCGTCCACATCCAACTTAACATTACACAAAAATTCGTAGGTCGGTTATAAAATATATAATTATTAACTAAAATTATGTTATTTTCAATGTTTATTACTAAATAATATTAGCAATATTTAATTACTCCTTTAATATTTACCAAAATTCCATTATTAATTGTTAACAAAATCATTAACATGTCATCAGTTCTCATTATGCAATATTAGTTAATTTTGACATAACAAGTTTAATCATATGTTACTTTCTAAAATTTGATTTTATCATTAGACCTCACATTGTAAAAGATTTATTCAACAATGTTCTATAACAGTTCTTTATCTCTTACATCCAATTTTACCATGAGCTCTTGATTAGTTAACTTAGAAATAATAGTTTAACCATATGCTAATTTCTAAAATTTATTTTATTCTTAGATCACACATTAGAAAATATTTGTGTGACAACATTTTAACAGTTACACAAATTAAAAATTGATCAATGTTACTTGCTATAACTTGATTTTATTAGTGATAATATCTTCTGGCGGCTGAGCTAGTTAAAGACTACCATAGGAAGAATATTACTCCTAGATGTGCGATAAAAATTGATATCATGAAGGCTTTTGACTCTGTCAGTTGGATTTTCTCTTCTCTGTGCTTGAAATCATGGGACTGCCTGCTCAATTTATTGATTGGTTGAGAGCTTGTGTTCAGTCTCCCAGGGTCAGTGTAGGTCTTAATGGTGGGATTTGTGGTTCCTTTGATATGAAAAAAGGTTTAAGGCAAGGGGACCCATTGTCCCCTTACTTATTTACAATTGCTATGGAAGTGTTGGATGCTCTATTAAAGAGAGCAGCTGCACAAAATCAGGTCCCTTTTCATCCTCGGTGTAAGCCACTGCTATTACACATCTTTGCTTTGAAGATGGTTTGCTTGTCTTTACAAATGGGTCAATCAGGGATGTTGCTGTTATCTGTCGTGTCTTGGATACTTTCTACTCTGTGTCTGGATTAAAATGTAATCCTGATAAATGGCAGCTGTTTTGTGGGGGTATTCCAGAAGAGGAAAAGTTGATGATTTCTAAATACTCAAAGTTCCCAAATAGTAAATTACTTGTTAGATATCTGGGGGTCCCGTTGATTACTGGGAAGCTCACTAAGGCTGAATGCAGGGTTTTGATTGAGAAGATCACAGGTAAAATAAGTAGCTGGAGGTCAAAAACTCTTAGTTTTGCAGGCCGTTTGCAGTTGATTACTTCAGTTCTTACGAGTGTATTGCAGTTCTGGATGTGAATCTTTTTACTGCCGCAATATGTTATAAAAGAGGTAGAATCTATTTGTAGCCGTTTCTTATGAGATATTGATGATAATTCGTTAAAGAGAGCAGTGGCTGCTTGGCAGTTTATTGCTCGGCCAAAGAGAGCAGTGTGGAACAAAGCATGTGTATGCAGGCACCTTTGGGCGATTCTGGCAGCAGAGGGGTCTTTATGGGGTGCCTGGATTGCACGTTATAGAGTGAAGCAGGCCTTTGTGTGGGATTTAAAGGTGACATCAGCGGAGACTTGGGTTTGGAAACGCCTGCTCAAGTGTAGGGAGTTGGTGAGACCTTTTATTTCCACAGTTGGCTCTGAGTTGCAGTGGAATGGTATGGCTATGAACCCTTATTCTGTCACGAGGGTATGGGAGACGTTAAGGCAAACAGATACTGAGGTACGCTGGTTTAAGATGGTTTGGGACAAGCACATTATTCCTCGGCATGGGTTTATTCTATGGTTGGTGATTAATGATCGACTTAAGCTACAGGATAAGTTGATTGCCTGGGGTAAACCTCTTTCTGGACTCTGTTTGTTATGTCCTGGGGGAGTTGAAAATCAGAATCATTTGTTTGTGGATTGTTCTTATATTTAGTTCTTGAGTTGTAAGGTTTTGGGGTTGGCTTCGCCCCCGTGCTTGGCAGCTGGGATGTTGTGTTGGAGTGGTGTATACCGGCGTGGAAAAGGGATTCTCCAGCAAATTTTCTGAACAGAATGAGCTGGAGTGTTCTCATTAGCCTTGTTTGGCGCGAAAGGTGTGCAAGGTTGTATGGTTCTGTTGCGGCAAAGAGTCCTCCTCAGCTGGTACTTGATGCTAGGAGAATCATTCGGAGTCGTTGCCTCTTGAATCAGTGTTTGATTGATTGCTTTGAAGCTAGGGGGCTTGGGGTAGATAGTTAGTTTTGATATTGTTCATTGGGTACCTCTATGAGGGTTGATGTACATGATTGAGGTTTCTTGAGGGCTCCATAGAGGTTTTTGCTATTGGTGTCGGTTCTTAATGCAATTTGATTTAACTATAAAAAAAAACTTGATTTTATTATTAGACCATACATTATGAAAGATTTACGTAATAACGTTCTATAAATGTTACATGGGTTTCCCTTAATGATTAAGACACTATGTAATTTTATGGGTAAATAATCATTTATATGTATCAATTAAAAAAAATGATATGTAAGTTTTCTATAATGATCAAACACTATGTGTGTCTTATTTATAAATAGTAATTTATTATGTATCCATTAAACAAAAGGATGACGTATATTATTCGGGATTAATGACATAAATAATTTTTTTAATTTACCATCAATATGGCGGATTAAAAAGTATTTACGCAAATATTGTGTATTTGTGTAGGGTTATAGGCGGGACCGCATTTTTTAAATTATAAAACAGATCCCACGCGCTGGCGCTTGAGTCTCCAGCGCCCCCGCCTCCACACTCTTTTTTTTTAAACCTAGCGGCCACTCCTTTCTTATCTTTTTCTTCTTCCTCCCCCCACATCACACCCACCAACCGCCTCTCGCCCGAAAAACCAGGCTGCCACTTTGCCATCGCCCTAGACAGAAGCAACCCCGCCGCAGACACATGCGGCCCCGCCGCTGACAGAGGTGCCGCCGCTGCAGACAGAGGCAACGCCTGGGTTTGACAGAGCAGATGTCCTCGTCCGACGAAGAGGAAGCAGTCGCCGGCAGAAGCAGGGGGAGAGGCCGGCGAGGTCGTGGAGGCGGCGACCATTTTCGTGGTTAGAATCACGCCGGCAACGACCAGAATCTCGCCAGCGGCGGCCATAATCTTGTCGTTGCCGGTTTTTTTTCAAATTAATGTTTTTGTTGCTTTTGCAGTTCCTAGGCTTATGGACCATTATTCGATGAGACTACTGCCTGCGACAATTGATCCAACTCTGGTCGATCCGGTACTTCTTTGGGGACATGGTCAACATCGTATCGACCCAATTTGGGCAAACGAGGTAAGTATTTGATAACTATTCATGTAAAGTTAAATTAGCTAGTTAGATTAGATTATTTTAGTAGGTGAACAGAAATGTACTGAAATTAGAATAGAATTATGTATCAATTTTTTTGAAATTAGTATAATTTTAGATTAGATTAGATAAATTAGAATTATTACGAATGAAATTGAATTAATATTTGAATTGTGCACTATAGGCCGGTGATCGATCTTACGATGTTTGAGCTACGACCAATTTAGTCAAGTATCATGAGCGTTATCAGCCATATCTCGGAGCGGCGGGCTTGTCTAGTGTTTATCACCTGGTCCTTATGAATTCTGATGTGAGTTTGATTAGTGCGCTCATAGAGCATTGACGACCTGAGACGTTGATCTTCCATTTACCGTTTGGTGAGGTCACGATCACATTAGAAGACGTTGTGACACTGTTTGGTCTGGCGATCGACGGTGATGCCATCGTAGTTGACATACCGGATGAGGAGTGGCCGGCGATCTGTTTGGGACTGTTAGGACGGGTTCCAGACGATCTTTCAGGCGGTATTGTTAGAATTGTTTGGCTGAGGGATGAATTCAGTTATATGCCGGGAAATGCATCCCAAGAGGTTACAGAGCAGTTTGCACGAGCTTATGCTCTATCTCTGATGGGAGGTGTATTGTTTCCGGGTCGATCTGGAGCTATGGTGCACCTACAGTACCTACTTCTGATTGAGGATTGGCAGAGAGCTGGACGGTTCGCCTGTGGAGCAGCTGTTTTACCCTACCTGTACCGTGAGATGGGTAGGTCGGTTTTGCACATTATGCATTCCACCACATCTCTAAGAGGTGACCTTGGTGGATGGCTCGCCCTACTGCAGCTCTGGGCGTGGGAGCGATTCCCACATCTGACACCGCGACATTTAGAGACGAGGGTGCAGATTGTCGAGGATGCATTCCTACGTGGACTTCGATGGCTTCCGGCCAACACTCGTCAGTATGGTGATAAGCTATTCCAGTACAAGTTGTGGTTTGACGAGATGGAAACCATGGTGGTTAGTATATAACATTTCATTTTATAGAATAGTTTTCATTTGTTTGTTTTAGATTTAGGGATAATAACGTGACCATTTTTTGTGTAGTGGCAACCTTACGTTGAGAGAGCACATCATCTCAGAGGTAGTGTGATACAGTCTGAGACGTTTCGAGCAGTAGTGCCACTGATCTGCTTTTCAGCGGTGATGTGGCATCATCCAGACCGCGTGCTCTGGCATTTTGGCATGAGGCAGACTGTGCCTCATCCGCCACATCCTAAGGTTGAGGTTAGGTTTTTCCTTCGCCAGGCTACTCGTGGGCCATCGCGTGGGAAACAGTTGGTACACGCCTCCAGAGAGTCGCTTGCTTTTTGGAACCGTCGACATGAGTTCGTAGCGATGACTCCATACAGTGAGGAGGTTTTAGCATACCACTCGGAGGTAATGGAGTGGTATCGAGATGTCACCAGACGTCCAACTGAATTTTGTGACCACGGTTTCATCAGCTCTTGGCACTTGATGGAGTACTGTGAAGGACCACTTCTAATTTGTGCTTCTGTCTCCAACCCCATCTTATCGAATTTCTCCAACAATCGCCAATAGGTATGTTGCACAAGAGAAGCTATAATAAGTGAACGAATACCTTTGAAAACACCATTGATGCTCTATGCCATGTTGGATGTCATGATAGACCATCGACGCCCACCATTTTAGTTATCATGCGCTAAACTCCAACGAATTTGATGTTGGTCCACCCAGTTATCACTGAAATATTCCTATCAGCGGCCACCTTAAATTGCTCAACTTGACGATCGAACTTCTCCAAGCGTTTTTCTCCGGCTAACAAAGTAAATAACCACACGAGTTAGATAAAATCATGACAAAATTACATTAAACTAGATAAGAAAATTAAATGAAGAAGACTTACCGACTCAAAATAGTTGCTTATACATAATTTTGTTTTTATTCTTTCTTTGCAAGTTGCTTGCGTAGTGTCGCATGCACCACCTCCACTCCCAACCTCTTCCGATGTCACCCATGGCTTCATAGAGTCCCGCATGTCTATCCGAGATGATGCATACATCATTTCGATCGGTCAAACCTTGAACGTGATTTATGAACCATGTCAAACTTTCAGTATTCTCGCTCTCCACGATGGCAAATGCTATTGGAAAAATCTTCTTCCGGCCATTAAATGAGCTCGCCATGAGTAGCAATCCTTTATACTTTCCAGTAAGAAATATTCCATCACCAACCATGACTCCTGGACAATTCTTGAATCCATCTATACAAGGTCCATAAGCCCAGAATACTCGCTGAAAGATCGAATGACCTGGTTGAGCTGAAGAAACTCTTACACAATCAATCACTGATGTTGGCATTTTTCTCTTTACCACCCGCAAGAATGTTTGCAAATAATCATAGGATTCTTCCCAATTTTCATGCAACTTCTCCAATGCTCTTTGTTTCCCATACCAAGCCTTTTTGTAAGTAACTTGCATATTAAACTTATCTTTCAACTCGGCCTACACAGTTAGAACACCTAGATTTGGTTGTGCACGTACCAAATGTTTGACGGCCTCAGATATAATATCGACATCAAGATGACGATGATCCGTCGGTTGAGTCGTACTGCTACAAGAATGCACCAACTCGGCCTTTCTCACAGTCCATTCGCTTCCAACATCTCGACATCCAAGCCGCACCATCCAAGGACAATTGTCATCCTTGTGCTTCAAGCATCTGACCTTCCAGATTGAAGGTGACGACTCCACCGACTCAATTGTCATCCTTTGGGATTGAGATTCATTTTGGAGTGCTATTCGGTATTCGGGATTACGGGACTAGGATCGGTATATACCGAAATACCGAGAAATACCAAAAATTAAAAATTAATGAAATATAGCACACAACTTTGGTCATTCCTCACTCTTTCACAACTTAGAAGCCCCCATCCGAATCAATTTTGACTTTCCAGTATAAGTCATTCTCGTTTATCACCTAATCTCTTGTTATATTTATAACACTAAAAGGCAAATTAATACCAGTATTAGTCGTCTCTCAACCTCCAATTCATCAAATTAAAGATCACCAATGACAAGAATTTGAGATGCCACCTCTTCTCTATTCTCCTCATCCATATTCTAGCTCTAGACAAACTCAAGACTCTTTACTTAATCTCTTTGCCCTAAATTAAACAATCAAATCTAATTTATATATTAATTAATTAATTAATTGGAAAGGTAGTTAATTTCGTATTCGGTAATACCGTTTGAGATACCGAAGTACCGATTGGGATATCAAAATATTTAACGATTGAAATTGGGATATTAAAACTAATTCGATATTCAGAATTTTGATATTTGATAATGAGATACCGGTACCGTACCATACCGATTTCCACCTCTATCACCGAAGGTGCCACGGAGTGAGTGAAAGAGCAGGGATTTCATCAATACACACGGGGATATACGTGAATTAGTATTATTATCAGCAATTACGAAAATATCCAAACCATGGACGGAAGAGGCGTCGAAGATTTTCATCGCAAAACGTTTCTTTTAGCAACGAATATGGCCGTGGCCGAATTTTTTTTTATGTCTGAGACGAATGATGTCGTCGCCAAACCTCTTAAATGTTTAGTGAAATGTTCTTGGTCGCAAGAAAATCAAATGTTTCGTTGCGTCAATGGTTTGATCCTCCTACTTGTAAAGCTATCCAGGCTATTCCTCTTCCGCGCCTTAGTGTTGCGGATAAGCTTATTTGGCATTACACAGCTGATGGGGTTTTTTCGGTTAAATCCGCTTATCACTTGGCTGTTAATTTAGATAGAAGGAGGGGTGGATGGAGATCTGAGGTTAGCTGGATGGACAAACCTAGTTGGACCAGGGTGTGGGAAGCCAAGATACCCCCAAAGTTGAAGGTCTTTGTGTGGCAAATTCTGAACCGGGTTCTACCTACAACAGAGGCGTTGATTGCGAAGAAGGTTCCGGTGTTGTCTCGATGTCCGGTCTGCTGGGAAAGCCCGGAGACGATGGAACATTTGTTTCTCTATTGCCCGGTCGCGAGAGCTATCTGGGACTATTCTGGGCTGGATTATTTGGGAGAGGGTTTGCCTCGCCATACGTTCCCCTTATTCCTCAAGCGTTTGTTGGCTTTAGTCCATCAGCCCTCGTTGATTATGGTTGTAGTTGCTGTCCTTTGGCGGATCTGGCGGTCGCGGAATTGGGTTGTCTTTGAAGGCAAACAGTTTGGGATTCCCGCACTAATGAGACAGTTTCATCAGCAAGTCGAGGAATGGGTGGCCTTGCCTGTAGAGCTGGCTCCTACGGTGGTAGGGCCAAGGGGTCAGCCGGTTTACGGGGAGGATTCACGTATGTTTTGTCGGTGGGATGGGGCGACTAGGAGGGGATCACACTCGGCTGGTGGGGTGGTTCTTCTCACGCATGACCGGCTACTTATGGCGAAGGGGGTTCAGTTTCCTGGTATGGATGAGCCTGCTTTGGTGGAGTTGCTGGTGTTGCGTGAGTCTATTACCTGGGTTTTGGAGTGTGGGTTCACGGAGGTCCGGTTTGAGGGTGATGCCAAGGTGCTCATTGATAAAATTAACCAGGCAGATATGAGGGATAATCGGTTGGGGGCGATCCTGGAGGAAATTGGTCAATACTTGCGTGCTCAGCCGGGGTTTAGTGTGCGATTTATAGGTCGGGAGAACAATAGGGTAGCTCATTCGGTAGCTAGAAAAGCCCTTTCTTTGTATCCGACTATGTGTCGTTTGTTTGATTTCAGAGCCTGGCTTGTTTCCAGGATGTAACTATTTTTCTATCAATATATGATATCTTTTGACAAAAAAAAAGTTAAATTTCTTATCCATTTCTTTTTCTCACGACATCTGCGATGAAATACTAAAGTCGTCGCAAAACACTTTCTCCTCAACTGTTCCGTCGCCAAACTTTCCGACGCAAATAATCAATTTATTTTTGGTAGTGAACAGACATGCATGCATCCAATCAGAAGGCTTGCTTATTACTTGCCAGCAGAAGTTGGTGCAACAACAATAGGACTCCTCACAACATGCGATCCACTTTCCTCACTCCAAACAATCGACCCATACAAAACCCTACCTTGCCCATCACTCGGATACACGATCTCACATAGTAATCTCGCTGCTCGTTCTTCTTCCCGAACACCAAACTCTGAGGCCACACCGCAACTTTCACTCCCTCCGGTGGAGCCACCTTCACTTTGTACGTAGTTGCCGCTGCTCCTACATTCGTCACAACTCTTCGAAACCTGTGCTTCAACATCGCTCCGGTAGTCACATTTTTATCATAAAACGCCACGAACGACGGGTAGTTCAGATCGAGGGAAGAGTTTGCACAGTCGTAGTTGTTTGATCTCGTGATGGTCATAATCTGATTCCTCGTAAAGTTCATCGAACACAACAGAGACACGTAGTCCTGTGGAGCCGCATCGTAGACTAGGCCGGGGTCCATGGCTAGATTCTGGACTATATGGCCCGCTCCCATAGCGGAGGAGACGCGACGTGAAATTTTGGCCCACGTCCTTGATAGGCATCATAGAACTGTCCAGCTCAGTAGCGTCGTCATCATGCCGATCTGATAGCTGCATGGCTCCATTCAGGATGCACTCCTCTCAGGAGTGCAGCCACGCCAGAAGCGTGAGGGCACGCCATCGATGTGCCCGAGATCAGATTGAATCCTCAGGACAGTAAAGTATTCTTACCGACCGCGGCTGTGTAGTCATCTGGGATCCAGGAAACCGAGTGCCCACCCCTAATATTGATGGAGGATGTCAAACAATACAACGAGTGATTAAACTAATAATCAAACAATACTATACTAGTTTTGTGCCCGCCCGATGGACGGCGAGTGTTATATGATTGTACTTTTCCTTCTATTATTTGTTATTTTTTTCAATGGTATTAGATTCCTAGTTTTCATAATTATTTATTATTGTTACCTATAATCACTGACTTATCTGATATGAGGGCCGCTACATTTACTCTATGTTTTAATGATGATCAACAATAAAGTCAAACAACGCCGTAACTTCATCACCGCTTGGACCAACAATTGTCAACTTCATAAGTTGTACATGGTTTAAACTCGTGTACGCCACCTTACCAAACTCCTATAGAGTTGGTATTTAGACCATGTATTGACGAAGTTTGGCGCATGATGCTATACCATATTCTCTAATAGGTGAACCACGGTCTCTAATTCTCTAATCCAAATCGTACGATTCATTTAATGAAAAATAATAACCATCTATTCTTATTTGTCAAAATATATTAACATATAAATAATAGGTATGAATGAAGGTGCATATTACACCTCGATTGTCTAGCCTTTTCCACCATTATATCAAAGTACAACAAAACTATTCTGATATGCTTCTTACCTTCAACATTGTACGAATGATATCAAAGCAAATGTTAGTTATTGAGACACTTTGTCTTCACTTCACATTATCATCCAATATTAAATGTGACTGACTGTAACTGGAATTGTGTGACTTAATACAAACATAAAGGCGCTATGTTGTGCAGTCGGTATAGTAACTGAATTTACAGGACTTCGTCATGATATGATCCTGCGTTGATTTTATAGGACATCGGTCCGGGTACATCCCACCCTGGTATACATGACATCAGTTAGGGTATGACCCGCAGTGGATTTATAGGACACCAGTCTAGGTACGATTTGTGGTGGTATGCATGACATCTACTATACTACCCGAGAAATGTATGACTTGGCAAATTAAGATGTAAAATGCAATGAACCTAACCATGCATGTGATTGAATCCTTGTATAAATATTACTTATGATGTGGTTAAGTGATGACTTTCTATGATGTGATATATGAAATGTGCATGTCGATGATGATGGTTTTCTATGGTGTTTTATACAATGATTTAAGATTGGATGATATGATGTTTTGCTATGTTGGGACAGGGGGTTACATGGTAATGCCAGTATGATGTGATATTTGATGCATACATGTTTAAACATTGAGTTATCAAGAGGCTGGGTGATGGTCCTTATGTTGTCATGTATGAATTCTTTGAGTTTGAGATGATGAATGTGATATGGCATGTGGTGATGAATGGATGTTTATTTGACTGAATAAGATATAGCATATCGCATGTATCTTGATAGTTAAGTTAAGGCAGAAGGCCTAAGAGGTGGGTGACGGAAAACTGAATACTCCATGTTCTGCCATGGTCAATAGGAGGGACAATAAGTCATTTTGAACTATACTCTTAAAGGTAACGGAGAAGATATAGATCATTATCTTATGAGTAAGGCTGTCCGGCGAGTATAAATGGTTACTAAAATTAGTAATAGTAATATATGTATTAGGGTGTCATATTAAGTAATTATTAAAATAGTTATTTACATATCAACCATCATATATCCAATAGTTTAAGATTCGTTTACAAATCTTGCTTAACTTAGGTGTTATTCATCTGAATATGACTCAAAGTTGCACATCTACACTCATCACTCATGTATGAAAAAGAAAGGAATTTATGTCAAACAATAAAAAGAGAAAATAAAGGAATTATAATTACATTAGGAAAAAAGTAAAGACAATGTGTTTTATAATTGTGCATGGAAGAATATTTAATGACGTATGGAAAATGAAAAGAGAAAGAAGTCGGAATAACATAAAAGAAAAGATAATGATATCATTTTTATATGCGAGAAATGCCAAATTCATTCCTAAAAATGAAAAATGCATTATGTATATGTACATGACTTTTTTTTTAACTTCTTTCACCAATTGGTCACAAACATATTTAAACCATATAACCATAATTCGGTTTTGAAAAATATAACAAAAAACATTTGGTGACCATTGGTGTCTAGTGATATTCTTAAACACATGAAATTTTGTGTATATATCAATGTACCATATGACTGAACTATGTTGATATATTTCATATATTTATATAAGTATTTTCTAACAAACTGCAACATATCTACATTGGTTCACATATTTATAGTAGTTCGTACAAATAAAATGTTAAATTTTTCCTGTTCTAGAATGTGGAAGAAGATTATTCTTTACTTTTCATTTTTCAATTTTAAAAGAAAATCACATGTCAAATTATGTAAAAGTTTATAATTGTGTACCAACTAAATTTATTCTCTTCGGATTTTTTTAATTATTTGTAAGAAATTATAAACAATTATGAAACATATTATAAACTAAAAATAATTTATTTATAGATGTTAATGATTTTCTTATCAATGCTAAAAAATAGAATATAACATTTTAATCGTGATAGCTATTCTATTGGTTAAAAATAGTTGTGATTAATTGCATGAAAGATATTTTATTCTATTGGTTAAAAATTTGAAATGATTACAGTTTGAGCTTGTAGGTTGCATGATTAAATCTTAGTTATGGTAATTGATATACATGTTTTGTTGTGGTTAATAGCATCAAATATACTTTATCCTAGTGGTTGAACATTTGAAATGATGATAGTTTGACCTCGTAGGTCACAGGTTCAAATCTTGGTCATGATAATTGATATACATATTTATTTAGTTTTATTTTAATGTAACTTATAACTTATAACTTAAAATGTTAAAAATGACAAAATGACATAGAAAATTGTGGAGATTTCGTTGTCCTTCGTGGCAAAAACTTGCTCCACAACGGCCATAATATAAGTTAAGATAACGTGCTCCTTCATGACCCACACAATTTCCGTTTTGCTGGCTTGTGCGCAGCTCACGGAAGGACTCTTTAGTCCTTTCCTTTAATTCAGAAGATGGGCTCGAATTATTTCCAAGCAGGCAACCCAACCTGGCTCCTAGAAGTTCGACCCATTTCTACTCCTACCACATCCAGGCATTCACATAAATAAATTCAATTAGAATGTATCAAATATCAATTCACCAATATCATTGTAAATACTACAATATAATTGCTTTTTCTTTTCACCTTATTTAATTTATTTAGTTTCTAATGTTCTATTATAATTCCTATCCCAATTTGTTTATTTTAATTGGTGTGCCGATGTCATGATGCTTTAGTTATTTCGATTTAATTATTAGATGATCTATCATATTATATACCAAAATAATGCATATTGATTGTTGATGAAAATTTTCTCAAGTATACATATTTGTCTTATATATACAGTTATACACGTATATATATGATTGATGCTTTCTCTTGCAGTTCTATTACAAAAGATAATACTCATGGTTAAAAGAATATGAATAGGATGGGTAGTTAATTAAATTTTCAAGATTAAGATGGTTGGTTAATCAAAGGAGAATATTATTTTTTATATTATTATACAGGTATGAGCAATGTAGCTAAAATCGTTTTTTAAAGTTTAAAAACTTATACGTTTACGCTTTTAGATCACAAAACAGTTTAAACAGAATCACAATTTTTAAAACTATTGTAGTTAAAAATGCGTTTTAAAGTTTAAGAACTTACTATTTTATACTTCTAGATCACCAAAATGTTTCTACGTAAAAACGTGCTTTTGATGACATTAGGTATGAGGAGCACTTCTACTATGCTCTAAAGTATTGGTGCTTTAATGTACAACTTGAAGTTTTACCATAACGTTAAATGTATAAGTTTAGGTTTTACCATAAAAGAATTTGTATCATTATGTTATGGTACAACTTTATAACTTAAAGTTGTATCATCACATAAATGTACAAGTTCAAGTTGTACCATGAAAGAATTTGTACAAAAGAGTATAAGTACAATCTAAAGTTGTACCATAACGTTAAAGATATAATTTCTAATTATACCACAAATACAAAAACCTATAGCACTAATGCTATATAGCATAGTAAAATTCCTCTAGGTATGAGAATATAAATAGGATGGGTAGCTTATTAATTTTTGAAGATTAAGGATGGTTGGTTAATAAAAGGTGCATATTTTTTATATACTAATATAATTGTATGAGAATATGAATAGGATGAGTACCTAATTAATTTTTCGAGATTAAGGATGGTTGATTAGTCAAAGGTTCAAATTATTTTTACAAAAATTATTAGCATTTATTTTTTGCAGTTAGATGCCTCAAAGACGCATGAGAGTCATCTAAAAACCAAATATTATTTCAATTGAATCATCAAAAGTTGAATGTAAGCACATATATTTTTATTCTCATAATGTTAGATATCTTACAATTATATATGTGTCCATGCCATGTGCGATTTAGTAAAAACAAGAGTTGTTTATATACCAGCAGAAGGTACTATTAATATTGATAAGTCTATATTTCAAGCACATGAATTTTTTTATGATGGTATGGAAATCTATAAACTATCCATTGTTTATAATCTCTCCAACTATTTTATATGGCTTGATCTTACAAAACTATTACTTCTATTTTAAATTTTCAGAAATTAATTCACATAAGTCAGCGTTGAAGGGAATTGACCAACCATTGAAAAAAAAATAGCAAGAAGAAAACATGCTTTTTATATAGGCAAAAGCCTATACATAGGAAAATTGTCAAAATTTCTACGGGTAATCTATTGATTTCATGTTTGTTTTCGATTTATATGGTTATAAAATTCTATGTTGAATGCTAAGATTTTTTATTTTAATAATTCCTATACAAGACTTCAATTTGAGATAAATAACTTACAAACGAAGAGAAAATAGATTGTGAAGATCTATCAAACATGCCAAAAACCATTATAATCTTCTTCAGGTGATGTGTTCCGTAGACTTTTCAGGTTTATTGATATTTACAGTATTTCAGTTTTCTTCGCGTATGATAATGTTAAAAAAAATCCAAATGTATTTCTTATATTGGAGTTTAATTTGTTTGACAATTGTTGAAGTGTTTGTCATTAGAAACCTATCATATAAATGTGAATATTGTGGAGTTACGATGGAAAGGGCGGGAGTAGTACCAAACCTACAAGAAATTCTAATCAACCGAAGTTTTCATTGTGTTTCAAACAAGGAAAAGCGAACCTCCCCCTCCAGAGGTTTTGAATATTCTATTGCAAACAAATATTTCAATGCGATGTCACCTTTTGGAACATATCATAGGGTAATGGGGTTGGCCGATCGAAAAATTATGGATGCAGAGCATATGTTTATTCGATTGAAGGTCAAGTAAATCATCTAATCGATAGCATGGTACGGACTTGATGAGGACATAATCAAATAAGGTTGCAACAACATTACTACCATGGTCTTTTGGATTTTTACTTGAGAGGTGATTCAGGTACATGTGTGAGTGAAAAACATGTGATTTTATCTTCATCACATATAGCTGGTCCTCGGTATAAGTACAAAACCTCCCATGATGTTATGGCAATATGTGAATGGACATGATATCCAAATCTTTTTATTACATTTACATGTAATCCTGATAGGTTTGAGACTCAATACATGATTGATTTAATAATAACTACTACTAGAAAATATCATAATAGAGTTAATGTTCTCGCAAGAGTTTTCATGCTCAAACAACATATAATTTATGGTGAATGTGATCTCATTAGATAATCGGTTTGTTGTTTCTTATAAGAGATATCTGTTGTAGTGATTTCAAACATATATAAGTTATTCATCTCATTTTATTTTTATATCCTCATGAAATTAATATTACATAATGTTTCAATTATTTGGTCTCCTATAGTTTTTTTTCCTAAACCATTTTCACTATTTATTCGTTATTCCTATTGTCACCGTAACGGAGTAGCTACTATATTATGATACAATATCAAGCGGTTATGCTTAACCATTTTTTCTGAAGGGGAATACTTAACCATATTCTCATGGGCTATGATTAGAACTACTTTATTATTAATATTGTCATTACCATATTATTATTGTGTATTTATGGATAGTGGTTTTGTGAAATTACGGGAATGTGAGGCGTGCGTTAGGTTTAGGGTTATTTTGTGATTTAGGTAAAGTGTACTATTATTTTTCTTTATACGCTAGGCCAAGCGAACAGAATTATCACCAAAATTCCAACAATTTTCTTTTGGAAATATATAAATCAAAATATGGTCAAACCAAATTTCAAGAGTCAATATATAATGATTCATAGTTCAATAGATTTTTCCGACTTGATTATTATATTTTATTTGATTGTTTCTAAGTCATATGATTAATTTACTATGTTATCTGTGGCTATCAAGTATTTGTTCAAATAATCAACAAACCTGCAGACTGAACAATGTCGGCTTTTACATCTAAAACAGGTGGTACTGAAAAACAATACCAAAACCAAGAAATATCTTTAGCAACTTGCGTTTGCATTAATGAGATTAAAGCATTTTTAGATCGTCATTACGTCACATAAGGTGAGACATGTTGGAGACTTTATATTAGCTTTAATTCACATTCTGTGTTGCGTATAAGCATATGTTTGAGGAGAATGACTAAGAATTAAGCGTCTTAGTTGATAAAGGTCAACAGATGATCTAGAATGACCTCTATCAATGTCTAAAAAACCTTAATTAAGGACTTAGGCTAGCATGTAATTTAGGATCCTTTGGAGAATTTGTTAGTTTATAGTAAAGTATGGTTGACCAAAGATAAAAGAAAACTTGGTGAAATATTATGTACTTAATTATATTGAATTAAACCGAAAGAATGTTTAACTAGGATTTAGACATACATATTTATTAACAAAGAGAGAATTTTTCTTTCTTGAAAAACTCGAACTAACAACCTCGGCAAAAACTAATTAGTGGGTAAAGGCCTATGGCTATGATAAATACATATCTCACATACTAATTGCTACTGCTATTGTTGTTTAGGGACCAACGAAAACAAGTTTACAATTATCTAAAATTTAAGATAAAAAAATGTTTAACTAAGATTTAGACCCGAGGTAAAGAAATATGAACAAAGAGAGAATTTGTTCTTTCTTGAGAAACTCGAACTAACAACCTCGGGCAAAAACTAATTAGTGGGTAAAGGCCTATGGCTATAATAAAAACATATCTCGCATACAAATTGCGGCCGTTGTTTACGAAGTTGACAAAATGCATCCGGTCAACTGGCCGGGCCCGTCACTAGTGCTTTATACTTGTCATCCTTCCACAAACACCATACTGATCATCTCTGTATAGTACTCTAGTTAAAGTTTTATCGAATATCGAAAAGAAAAAAATTAACAATTAACAATCCATTATATTAGACTGTCGTCTATTGTATAAAATTTCAAAATTTCACGAACCTTAAACCCGGGGAAAGAAAACAACGAGGAGAGTCCCACTAGATAAAAAAAATGGCGGAGGGAGGGAACTTGAAAAAGAATTCAGCACTTCACTCACTCACTTACCAGCCGCTGGATCAGGCCAAACCACACGGATCGCCATTTCATCCAACGGCTAATAAACGACTTAAACCATCACGTGGGGCGACGAATGAAATTTTCGGGTGGGCCGCCACCACCCGCCGAAACGAAACGCGCGAGCAAAGCAAACAATTTGACACGAACCCGAAAATTTCCCACCGGACAACAGCCCCCGCCCGAAATATTTCGTTTAGAATTTCGAACACTCCGGCGGCAAAGCTCGCCGCCGCCCTCCGCCGCCGTGAAATCTAATTATTTTATTTTCTTTATTCCTCCCTCCAACAGCTTTTGAGCTAAAATCTCAAAGCGCCAAAAAAAACCCCAAAACCTCTCCCCCCTCTCGTTTTGAAAACACGAACATGGCGCTCGTTCCTTTTCCCTCCCTCTTCTTCTTCTCCAAGCATTACAAAATCTGATCTCATTCCTCCACTTCTCCACCTCACACCACACTAGTCCTCCCTTTCTCTTCGCTCTCTCTCCCGTTCTTCCTCTTCCAACTCTGTTCCGGACGGCGAGAGGCAGAAGGAGCTTGTTCCAATGGCGGATCAGGAGAACTGCGCTCCACTCACTCGCGCTGCCAGGAAGAGGGCAGCGGCGGCGGTGACGACGCCGGCGGATGCGGAGCAGGGACTTCCCATCCAGCAGGAGAAGAAGAGGAGCAGGGTCGTGTTAGGCGAGCTTCCTCAGGTGGCTAACGTTGGGGCGACGGTGGTGGATCTGACTTCCGGTGACAGGCCGGAGAAGCGCAAAAAAACCAATGCGAAGGCGAAGGGGAAGGCTAAGCCGAAGACTAAGGCCAAGAAGGTTGTCGCTCCCGTTCCGGACGAAGAAGAAGTTACGGCGGCGACGGTCGAGGTCGGGATCGATGACAGAGATGGAAGCCCCGATGATCCTCAGATGTGCCAGCATTATGCCTCCGACATTTACGATTACCTCCACAACTTAGAGGTGAATTGAGATTTTTCGATTGGATATTTGCTTTTTTTCAGTCTGGGAAGTTTGGTGGAATTAGGGATTAGGGTTTTCGTTCGGATGTTAATTTGGGGGGTTTTGATCTTTAGGCTGAACCAAAGAGAAGGCCACTGCCTGATTACATCGAGAAGGTCCAATCTGAAGTGACTCCCAACATGAGAGGGATTCTTGTGGATTGGCTGGTGGAGGTAGCCGAGGAGTACAAGCTTCTGACTGATACTCTCTACCTCTCCATTGCTTACATTGATAGATTCTTGTCTCTGAACCCTATCAGCAAGCAGCGCCTTCAGCTACTGGGTGTTTCTGCGATGATGATTGCATCGTAAGAAGTCCTATTTCCCATTCATTTCTTTAATGTGCTTCTAGATTTTCTCCTCGTATGACCCTTTTGCTTACTAATCTTTATTGTTGTGTTATTAACAGAAAGTATGAAGAGATCACCCCTCCAAATGTGGAGGAGTTCTGCTACATCACCGATAATACATACACCAAAGTCGAGGTAGCTAATCATTCTTGACTCATCTCTGCAATGCATTACCTGCTCTGTTCGGCTGTGGATCTGGGCTGATTTCAAGTTTGCTTTTTGATTAATTGGATGTTGGTTTTGGCTGTTTCTGAAGGTGTTGAAGATGGAAGCAGATATACTTAAGTTCTTGAACTTTGAAATGGGTACCCCCACAATAAAGTCATTTCTAAGGCGGTTCAACAGAGTTGCTCAGGAGGATTACAAAGTAAGTATAAGATGCATCATCTCCTGTAGTATAAATTGTTGATGTGAATCTCTTGCTGAATCATATATCTGGACTTGTTTACAGACTGAGAGCCTACAGCTTGAGTTCATGGGCTGTTATCTTGCTGAGCTGAGCTTATTGGATTACAACTGTGTGAAATTCTTGCCGTCTCTAGTTGCTGCATCTGTTGTGTTCCTTTCAAGATTCACACTCAAGCCAAAAACGAATCCTTGGGTAAGCAATCCCATTAAGATCACCTATTAAGATAATCTGAATTCGGAGACGCTACTGAGGTGCCTAACTGAGTTATGGTTTTGTTCTTAACAGAACGCCAAGTTACAAAAGTACTCTGGATACAAGCCATCCGAGTTGAAGGAATGTGTGCTAATCATACAAGACCTTTACTTGAGTCGAAGAGGGGGCGGCTTGCAATCTGTTCGTGACAAGTATAAGCAGCACAAGGTACAGACATTTTGCCAAAGGTTTTCTGATTAGGCTGTGCCATTAGCTAGTTTTCTTACTGTTCTAATTGATCCTGACCTTTTTCCTCCAATCTTGTAACAGTTCAAATGTGTAGCTGTAGCACCATCACCTCCAGAGATACCTTCTGCATATTTTGCAGATGTTGTTATAGAAGTTTCCCAGTTTTGAGGCAAGTCCATGTGGGAAGGGCTACTGAGTTTTGCTTGACGTTGCAGCTAACTCTGCTGTTCAGCCATTAAGCACAGTTCACTTCTAGTTAGAAAATTTGATAGGGAAGCTCTGTAAATATAGTCGAGGACGAAAATTTTGCTTATTGTAATTGGTTTGTGGTAATGAAGTATCGTTTCGGGAAACTATTCTCTATGGCAGAGATGATGATTATTGGCTATGTTTCCTTTTAGCTTTATGAGCAAACGATGCATTGAGAAGTCAAAAGTAATACGAATACATTTTTTATTTATTTCCGAGCGTTATTAAGAGAGTACAATAGTTATACAAACAACACTATCCAAGAATCCCTTACAAGTTACAAGCGACACCCTAATGAACTCACCCAAAAAGTCGAAAAACTCTAATTCTATGAGAGACTATAGCAGTGCTTTATGCGCCACTCTATGGGCAGCACTGTTGGCGGCTCTAGAAACCAAATAAGTAAGATGCCGCTTAAGACGAATGGTTGTTGTAGTTTAGTAGTTAGAATTCGGAGAAAATCCCAAAATAAACATTTTTTAAAAAATTCTTAAAATATACATGTTTATAAAAAATTCTCAAAATACAAGTGTTTGTGGTTTGCATTGAGAAATTTCTGATTTGCTTTCAAAAATTTTGTGATTTGCATTGAGGGGTTTCTGGTTTGTTTTAATATATTTGTGGTCTGCATTATGACGTTTATGGTTTGCTTTTTTGTGGTTTGATTTATTGTGTTTGTGGTTTGCATTAGGAGGTTTCTGGTGTGCTTTCGTAAATGTTGTGGTTTGCTTTGTGAGGTTTGTGGTTTGTTTTAGGAGATTTGTGGTATGCATTAGGAGGTTTCTGGTTTGCATCAAAAAGTTTCTGGTGTGCTTTCGAAAATTTTGTGGTTTGATTTGCGAGGTTTCTGGTTTGTTTTAATATATTTGTGGTATGCATTAGGACGTTTTTGGTTTGCTTTACCGCGTTTGTGGTTTGCATTAGGGGGTTTCTGGTGTGCTTTTCAAAATATTTATGGTTTGCTTTGTGGGGTTTCTGATATATTTTAGCGAATTTGTGGTTTGCATTAGGAGGTTTCCGGTATGTTTTTTGTGAGTTGTTTTATTGCGTTTGTGGTCTGCACTAGGAGGTTTTTGGTGTTAGAAATATTTATGATTTTGTTTATTCTGTTTTTGGTTGGTTTTAGTGACTTGTGCTATGCATTAGGAAAATTATAAAATTGACTTGTACTCACTAATTGCAATTACAAGTGAACTGAATTGGTGTTTCTCACATCTGCAATGAAAATTAAAGTGAGTTAAATTGCAGTAGTTGGCTTTTCAATTTCATTGACCCGAGATGCAATTCTTCAAATTTTCATCTGGGATTTAGGCTCCACCATTTCATTTTCTTGGACAAAGCTCAAGCCCACCGGATAGCTAATCACCTACGACCTACCTCATCCTCAGCATTGCAGTGGTACTTGTAAATCCCACAGAGGAAGTGATACTTGTATAATAGAGGTTTAATATCTCTGACACTGGTGGCAAAATCCACGGCGAGGCGATGGAGGCCGTCGAGCTCCGACCGGATAGCTTTGTGGAAGAAGAGGAATATGAGTATGGGGGACTTGAGTACATAATTCTTGAGGCAAGACTTGGACGGCGTCGAAGGATCAATTGGGTTCAGTGGACCTGTCATTATCGCTACGCTGCCAGCGCCTCCGTCCACACCGAAAAATGGTGTCGCCATTACTCGGAGTTCCCCTACACAGGAAAAACCAAACTCGGCGTCGTCCTGTGCAACGTCGCCGGCCCCCGGCTCATGCTCCCCGCGGGATGCATCACCTACGCGCTCTACGCCTGGTCCTTCCTCTACTACAACCACTCCCGTGACCAGATAGTCATCGTTGCGTCGGCGGGATATTGGGAGTCGGCGGCGGTATGCTGTGGTCGGTGCAGGGAGCGGTGTTGAGATTCGCCGGCGCCAGAGTAGGATTTCTCCACCGAGGAGAGTTGGAATTTGGGATTAGATGGCAGTCGGAGGAGGACACGAGCGATGGAGAACAGAGCGGAGGGGAAAGCACGTACATAAGGGTTAATTTTTATTTTTATTGTAAATTTCCAATCTTGCCCTTAATGAATTATGTTGTTACGCTAACAACAGATAGGGTGTTGTTATTCTAACCTATCCCTTCACCGCGGCAGACGAAAGCGGTGAATGCATCACCGCGGTTGACGGCCACAGAAACTTCAAACGAACGTAACTTTGCGCTCGGTTATTCGATTGTAGCGATTTTTTTATATTCCACATAACTTTTCAAGATCTTTCAATCATCAAATAGTCTTCATCTAAAAAAATGTCGTTTGCTACCTCGAACGAGCAATTTTTCGATTTTGATAAACTTTGGAAGATCATAACTTTGTGCTCCGTAATCCGAATGTCATGAAACTTTTTTTGAATTCATTTAAATTTTGAAGAACTACAACTTTGATCATAACCATAATTTTGCAATGTATGTGGATTTGTGAAAAGTAAAGTCCAAGTTATTCCCAAAATCCTGTATACCCAACAATATATTTTTTCTTAAAATCTTTCCTAGTAAAAGTTGTAGTTCTTAAGAAGTTATGCGCAATAAAAAAAACCTTATGACGTTTGGATTGAGGAGCAAAAAGTTATGGCATTCCAGAGTTTGGCAAAATCGAAAATGGCTCGTTTGTGATGGCAAACGACATTTTTTTTGGATGAAAGCATGTTGCAGATTGAAATATCTTAGAAAGTTATACAGAATATAAAAAAAATCCACTACAATTGGATAACCGTGCGCAAAGTTACGTTCGTTTGAAGTATCAGTGTTAGGTCAGGCATTCATCACGGCCGCCAACCGCGGTGATGTCCAAACATGTATATTTTGGAATTTTTTTATAAAACGTGTGTATTTTGAGAATTATTTATATTTTTTAATTTTTACTTAGAATTCCAGGTAGTGTTCATGGAATAAAAAAACGTTGGGCTTGAATCCTAGCGACTTGCAGTAACATTGGTCTTTTAAAATTCTTTGTATCGTACGCATATTTTGCCTAATCCCTGGTGGTTGGGCTGGGCCACTTTCTTTGTTTGTGCGAGGCCAACTGTTTATTAAATCTCTCGTGGCTCATCCAAACATGACCCATGAAAAGGAGGACAGTCTTTTCTTCTGTAACAGCCCAGTCCAACTTCGACGTGTCCTGGCGTTCTCAGATTGAGGCAGTGTGCACCAGAGTATTATCTTCCTCAGAATTGAGATCCGAGGTCAACCGCTTAGAGTCCATCAAAGTGGCCAGGCTAGGAATCTAGACCAAACTGTATGGGGAACAACGATCTATACCGTATCGTATGATTTGGTTTGGTTTGTGAGATCAGAATTATGGTATGGTTTGGTTTGCGGTGAAACACCCTAATCCGGCCGGGTACTACTTTTACCAAAATACCATTGTTAAACTGAAAATACTCAAGAACCATTGTCACTAAAAAGAGCGGGAATTTTTTTCATAAACAAAATACTGAAATCACTTTCTTGTAGTTCAAAGCAACGCCCTACCACATGGGCAAACTCAAACCTTAATCTTCAGTCTTACTACTAAACATAAAGTACAATAACTAGAAGTCCCAATGGATGCTTGCTCCGATCTGATCGTTGACGTCCTCCGCGATGCTCGTATCGTTCTCCTCTAGCTGGCTCCCTCCGAAACGTTTCTCTCGCTCTCGTTGCTCTCTAACTACTCCTCTAGCTCTTCCTCTTCAAACTGGTGAGTGAGATGGGGTCAGTCTACGCCATTACGTTTAAACTTCTAATGCTTAACACTTTACTTAAAACACTTACTTAAATTGGTGGAAGTTGTTTGTACTTTCACTCTTAAAACTGTATGGGAGTTACTGTTACTCTCCATTCTTAAGTCTCAAAGCTTGACGTAAATACCTGACCGACACGGGGATCCCTCACTAGCTAGTCTGGTTTAGGGGTGGGCATTCAGTCGGTTCGGTTCAAACCGAACCGAAATAATGTATACCAGGTTTCTGAGTTCCATCAAACCTCAAATCGAATTCGAACCGAATTATAATTCGGTTCGGTCGGTTCAAACCGAATTATAATTCGGTTCGGTTTTGTATGAAAAACCGAACTTGTGAGGTTAGCTTGTATTTTTTCTCTTTTAAATTATTTTTCACCCCTAATGTAAACAATAAATATGCAATTAAATGCATCATCAATGATAAAATCAAACATTTCAACACATAAGTCATAAAACACTAACATAATTCAAATATTTAAGTCTCATAATAAGTACAAACATAAAAATCCACCATTTGGAACTTGCAATTATAGTAGTTCGGAAAATCGGTTCGGAATTCGGAAAATCGGTTCGGTCGAAAGGACCTTGGTTTCCGAAATATACCCTTTTCTCTTCCGAATTCACAAAAAGTTGAGATTGTTGTGATTGTTGGTTTTAGATTTGTGTCAACTTTTTATTTCCATTTCTATCCCTAAAAGCTTTTGTCTTATTCTAAAAGTTGAGGGTAAACGTGTCATTTCCCCATAAAAGTAACTTTATGTAAATCAATTCATAAAGTAGAATCTCAACAACCAAACAATGTATTGTTAGAATACATCCATTGTATCAATACATGCATTTATAATATGGTGATTCATTAAATGTCTCAAGAGCATAACTGTTGCTCATCTTAAAAGTCTCAAGAGCATACTGCTGCTCTATCTAAAAGATCTCAAATGACAACAGACTGACGCTAGTGACTAAAAACACTTAAAACGATTCCACCTTCGTTAAAGGTGAAGTACTTCTTAAAGATGACTTGTTTCTTAAACTTTAATAATACCTCATAAACGTAAACTTTCAAAGTAACTAATAATCTCAAACACATTCACTTCAAATCATAGCTCAAACAAAGCATATAAATCAACCACAAACATGCAATCTCAAACAAGAATCAAATACTGCACATACATCGAGTAACTCAATAATTAAAAATACTCAAACAGATACTTGAAAAAACCGTAAAGTGTAGAATTTACCTCTTAAACACTCACCTTATTATCAAGCCATTAGGTTGAATTTGGAGAACTTCTAGTTGAGCATATGGTGGGGCTGGCGGATTGTGCTTGTGCAACAACCTAGTCCACAATGGCTTTGTAGTATCTAACGTGGATC